ATGGAGAACAAGCAGAGGGGCAGGCGACAAAAAGAGAGGGTGAGACGGAGGCAGATGATGTCTGCAACATACTCAAACTGTAGTAAATAAAATGCATATAAGCAGAAAACTGACAGCATTGCTAAGGCTGTGAGATGAGGCAAGAGACTTCAATGGGGCATCGAACAGGTGCTGGAAATCAGCTGCTAATTGAAACAGTTTTGGCATTTGCCACAGCTGAGATGAGAGTGTGTCCAATATTGAGCCGCGTTATCATCAACTCAACTTACTCAACTTACTAACCAGTTCTGCAGAACTAATAATGAGAATAATGCAGTGGCAGTGTTTCGTATAGTCGCGATTATGTCCAAAAATGAGATAACTGCTTTAATAATGTACTCTCACAGTTTTAACAGAGAAGGAAAATGGGGGGACAGGGACACAAACAGTGCCTAACCTCCAAGAAAAGCCTAAAAAAAAGGGTTTAAAGGTCACCAAAGTTATCTGGCTTAATCTTCTGTATCAGTATTCTCATGGCAGCACTTGTCATGGATTATCAATCACTGATTCAGGCACCGAAGCCCTGTGGGATGCATTCTTTACTCTGTGCTCATCAGAGAAGCTCCTCTCCGTTAACTCAGTCAATGATGGGTTTCAGAAAAAGTCATTTCCCCCACACTGGTAACCCCCACGCTTCGTCTCAGCAAACAGTGGGTGTGATGAATGCGCTTTTCTGCTGCCTCTTTTGTAAGATGAAAAGTTGGGCTGTCCTTTATCTTCCCCACTTTGATTCCATATGGCTCGTTATTGCGTGCTGCTAATCGTGTGTCATATGACACTCAAAAATCCTTTAGCAGTTGTCTCAACTCGCCGGGAATGCGAGAGAGATCGAGTTTCCGACAAAATGCCAGAAAGTTAAACAATGACCTCAAGAAAGTATGTGAAAGTTTTCTTTTCAGTGCATTTCTCTTACTCTGCGGTTTGTCAGCTTGCCTGACTCTAATATGAACTGCTGCGATGCTGAAGACCACAGTCTGGGGCACTCCAAATAAGTTAAAACTGACATTTACAATCAAGTCTAAACAGCGTTCAGCGCGAGCCTGCCTTCCACCTCCAGCACGCTGGCTCAGAAAAGCCTTCAGCCGTGCCATTTTTGTCAATAAAATATCAGGTTTTCAAATTAAATGGCATCGCACACTGTCACAGGTTTTTAATAAAAGCTGGATAAGGGGTGATCCTGTTATGAGAGCTGACATTTTACTGAAACAGGAACCGTCGAGTGGACTGAGCATGCTTAATCAAAAACACTTTAGTAGAGATGCGCAGGATTTTGTGCTGACAAACAAAGAAATTCTGAGTGTTGGTTTGTTTTCTGTTCTTTCCCACAAAAGCAAAGTACGACAACAAGAAGCTGCAGCACCTGCAAGAGGCTAGAAAAGGAGAGAAAGACAAAGGATCTACAAAGTGCTGCTCGTGGGTTGATGAGTCGGTCTTCCAGGAGCCCGTTAGCTGTGAGTCACTTTGCCTGTTGTGTTGATACCGATGGCCTTTATTCAAAGCAGGATCAACATACCCTGAGGGGTTAGTTGGAGATTAATGGGGTAGTAAGGTGTGCTGAGCCTAAAGCTGGAGATTTCACGATAACAGCTTTATTTATTTGCCTTTCTAGGTCGCCGTGGTGACCTATGTTAAGCATGTGACATGGTCAAGAGCGGGTTCTGCTCATAGTTTTGTGCGATATGTTTTTTTTTTAATTTTACAGGGAGCTTGATGGGCTGCCCGTGAGTAACGCTGCTAAATAAAGCCATGCAGTAAAATCCGAGCAGCACAAACTGTCTGGAATTAGCATGCATTCGGTTGGTGATGCAGAAAATTCCCAATCTGCTGCCACGTCTGTT